TTCTGTTATCTGCATCTTTGCTAAAACCTATCTTCATCAGCAGTTGATGGTGAAAAGCTGGGATTTGTGATAAGGTATCGGCTAAGGTATAGGTATAGAGTCTCTTCTGCTAGTTGAAACTTTTAGGGGGTGGTATCTACCACCAGTACTAGACAAAGAGCTAGAGAAGCAGCAGGAAAATCTTTTATATTTAGATCTGATTCATCACTGTAGGAGAGAAAGTGATCCTTGGCACTGTAGGCTGTTTTGAGAGGATGCACGTATATTGCTGTGCAAATTAAATCTCTTTTTGTTATAATTGAAAAGATTAGCAGAGTACTAATGTGAAGCAAAAGCACTTTCATATTAGAGAAGGTTTGTCTTCTCCTGACACCAAAATATTGGTTGAAGCAACAACCACTTGAAAAATCAAGAATGAAGTTGCAAAGACAAACTTTTGGATTGGTTGAACACATAACCCTTAACCGATTCTGGGACATCAATATCTGCCTTGAAATATCTGATTTGTACTGAATCTTCTTACTACTCTACGTAATATGTATTTAAGCAACAGAAATAAAATGTATATAGTGACACAGCATACATAGTCCAACATTTGGTTTACCCTGAGAAGCATATATAAAATACTGTTGGAAATAATTTTGATTACTAAGCAAGTTTGAGTATTTAACCACTAAGATGCATATAAAGCTTATTTTGTCATCGGTTAGGGGTTAGGTCTGAACAAAACTGATTTAGAGTTCACTTAATATTGCTAGATGCTATGACTTGTTGGATTTTGATCAAAATAGAAGTTGTTTTCCAAGATACAAATTTTAATCAAGATTTCAGCCATTTTGTGTCAAGATCTCACTAGGCTTTTCTTTTCTTTCTTTCTTGGTTTTTTTTTTTTTTTTCTTTTGTTGTTGTTGGCTTTATCCACTGAAAAGAAGAGGAAATAGGCATTTTCTGGGTTTCGAGCATGCATGGAATATGATAGGATCAGACATCTTAGGATTCAGGTTCCAGGAAGGCTTTTTTAGTAACTAAGAGACCCTTTGAAGTCTTTAAAATGAGATTCCAAAGGCAACAGAGCGTGGAAAGTCCTAAAGCATCGTCCAGTCGTAGTTGTAAATCCTCTTGGATAGAGTCAAAATAAACTCTGATTTTTGCTGCCTTTTTTTCTGAACAAAATCAAATAAAATCTGGCAAAATTCATAAATAGAAACTGAAATGAGAGGAGTAAGCAGTAATGAGGAGAGATTTATTTTCTATCAAAGATAAAGAGTTAACAAATTGCCATATTATCTCCAAGATTTGTTCAGTCACTCTCACTTTTTCCAATCGTGAATTCAAAAAGTGTTTTGTGTGCCCGCTTAGATTGTTTTACATGAACGAGATACTAAATTTATTTCCTACTATATAGTTTTTATATATATATATATATAGTTTATGTATAATTTAGCTTAGACAAGGCATAAGAAGTAATTGTCGAGGAGAAAATTTTTTATGAATAATGACAGATTTTTCTGGGTGACCTCATCTCTTGGCTGCTTCCTAATTCTTGCTTTAGTTTTTCAATACGTGACTGTCAGTTCTCACTCTGCCTTCTAGTTTTCACAATGAAAGCAAAGCTGTCAGGTGCACAGTGATTTCCTCTGCTTAGTGGAGATCACTGTCCCCTGATTTGCTTAGTTTACTCTTGAGTTATCACCTTTATGTCCACCAGAAGGCTCTACTGCTTTCAGAAATGTGCACAGAATAATATTCTTTGGGTACCTAACAAACTCCTCACTGTTGTAAACAGGATTCAACAACTTGCTTTCACTGGAACAGCACACGCGTATTTCTTGGACTAAGCAGGTAACTTCTAATGCATTTAGAAACAAGTGAAGGATAAATGCAGATTAATTACAATTGCTGAGTGAGGATTTGGTTCAGTATTTAATTTTGTCATGGAATTTCATCCCACATGCACTTAATACAGTGGCTTTTGAATTAAAATCTTAGGAAATTTTAACAGTGTTGTTATTTTTGCTGTTACTTTCATAGGATGTGTATATATATTTTCTTCTGTAACTTACCAAAGAAGTTTGAAATACAAAGACCCCAATTCCTCACCGTCTTGGCATTCTTACATTTATAGTCTCCACTGATAAGAGAAGCTCTGTGAATTTTGGCACTTGCCTAAGTTATGATGAAGTTATCATTCTACAGATACTTCTCAATGAGAAGATTGCTCTTCACATTGTTCATGCTTCACAGTTCACGGACTGAAAACAAGTAGTTGACTGTCTGCAAAACTGTCAATTCAGCTTCCTTTATGAAGCTGAGTTATGATAGTTTAAAATATGAATTTTTTTCTTGTTTTCATTTTAGTTACACATGGTAGTGATTCAAAAGGGAAAAAAAATCCTTTTATTTATTATGTAAGTGGAAAATTAGTATAAAATAAGAAGCTACATCTCGGAGAAGCACTTTTTGTACCCATTGATTAATTTGGCTGCAACTGTTCTGGAATTCCATCCTGAGAAACAGGTCTGATTTACCTTATACTAACTTTCAGAACTAGAAATCACAGACCAAGAATATTTGAACACCTAGATTAGTACATCTTTGTAATGGGTGAGATTTTAAAATTATGCTTTTCAGAGGCCTTGGATAAAAATAGCCTGTTTAGTCTTCTAATGCTAAAAATATTTTGTTAGGGAAAGTGTATTTGTCCAGGTGGGGTTTTTTTGGGGTTTTGGTTTTTTGCCCCCTCATATGATATCATTTTCCTTATGGATATTTTAGTATAGAGCCATAAACACATCTTCAAAAGGCTTCTTACATATTCTGTTGAATAGTGGGTATGACATAAAAGAAGTTTTTCACAATACTGATTTTTTTAGTTTCTAAAAAAATCTAAGTTACCAATGTTCACATTTTTCCAGTCCTCCTTGTCTGTGTTTCCCTATTCTACTTGTCCAACAAACACATTTGGATATTATTTCCTAGTATACAATAGATAAATTAGAGCAAGAGACTTAAACTTAAGATGGTGGGAGACTTCCCACATACTTTTGTTAAATTTAGTGGAGACAGTTCATCATAATGCACGTCAGTTACCAGATAAACCATTCAAGTATTGATTGTTTTTTTGCCTGATACTTGTTGCATTTACCAGCAACAGAATTCAGATTTTTTTTCACTGCAATATAAATGTAAGGGCCTAACAACTCAAGGTTGCCTTTCTGTAATTTGTAATATTTAGTTACCATCACTACAGAAGACTACGAGAAAATGGATTGGCTTTGGCACAAGATGATCTGATATTCTCTAATGGTTTCACTACAGAACATTTCAGGGTGTCACTAGTGTGCTTGAGCAGCATGGGATCCCGCGGACCATTGAGAGCATTTACTTGAATCTGAAGTAATGCTAAATTACTAACAAAGGTTTTGTTTAAGCAGCATGGAACTAAAAAAGGCAAATTTATATAATTATTCAGCTCTATATGCTGTCATAATCTCTTGAAAGTTTTTGTAAATAACAGAAAAAATTTGGCACAGTGGGTATTCACTTATCTGCAAAAATGTGAAAGAAACTGTTTCAACAGTCAGTAAGAGTTTTTCCCAGCAACATTTCACTTTGAAACTAGCCCTATGGATCTCTATTGTAGCAATGTCCTCCTGAAGCTCAATGGGAGTCGTCTTGAATATGGACCAAATAATTTATCTGGCTGCTGGCCATGTGTTGTCTTTTAGAAGAATATGGGTGTTCGCTACGTAATAGTGTAGGAAGAAAGGAGACATATGGAAACAAATTTTAAAAGAAACAGTAACATTAGTCAATGAAGCTTTAACCACGCAAGTTGCCAAGCAGTTAATGTAGTCATAAAGTAAAGAAATAAATTATGAAGCCAGCTAGCCAGGCGCATAGCACGCAAAAGTGCTCTCCTTATAGAAAAGAAGCAGTCAACTTCAGTTGAAAGCTGAATCACACTAACAGTTCTGGAAGTTTATGTATTGATTTCTTTTGTTGCTGCTGTTACAAAAAGCACAGTAATATGTACAACTTACACTGCAACTATATTTAATAGCATCATTGGAAATATATTTGTCCTTTCAGCTGACTATAAACACTAGACCAGCATGTCTCTGGCCCCTTTTCCTTCTAATTTTGTTTTGAAATAGGCAATATAATCCTGCATGTTTCCCTGTTGTATCTTAATAAAGTAGTGTCTTTTCTAGTAGATGTCATATTTCTCTAAATAAACAATATGTTTGTAATAACATGAATCCCAAAGTGGCAAAAATAGTGACTGTGAAATCGATGCCTTCAAGTGTAAATGGAAGATATATAGGTATTTGTGAGAAAAATACAGATTAGTACAACAGTTCTTTTGCCAGTTCAAAAATTGTATTTGGTATAGTTTTGCAAAATATAATATGTCCATTCTCTCTAGATGAGTCATGTTTTTGGAAGAAAGGGGAGAGAGTATTTTTTTCAGCATCATGATCATTGTAATAATGAACTGCAGAAACTATAATAGATTTTGTTCCTGGCTTGGCAAACTATCTAAAAGATTTTGCAAGAGAGTTTACATAATTCTTTCCATTGAACTTTCTAGTATTGCATACGTTTTAATTGTTAACTCAAACACACCAAACTTTTAGGTAGTTTGTGGACTACATAAATGTGGTTTAATGTTTCATAAGTATTTTATGAGCAGAGTTTGTGGTTATACATTTTCATACTTACAACCTTAATTCACTTGTTAAAATGGGCTCTCTGTTTGCTAATAGTTACCAGCTGTAACTAATACATTAGCAGATCTACAATGTAGTATTTAAAATGACGCATTTCAAAATCAATAACAAATGTCCCGCTGTAGGATTAATTGGAAAACTTGTCTTATACAATGGTCAGTACGCTATACGAAATTCTTTTGAAATTACTATAAAACAAGGAATAGGAAACAATGATGTGTAAATTTCTAAAAACTTAGAAATAAGAAAAGCAAAAATATTACTTACTGTAGTTGTTGTTTGCTTCTCTTGTCCCTTTTACTTTGCCTCGTTTATCAATCCTCATATACCACTGAGTTCGACAGAAAAGTCTTCTCACTCTTACATCCCCCCCTTCCATATAATCATAGCTTCTGGTATGTCGCTCAGGGCTGGAACAGTTCACATTTGTAGCCATTTGCTCTGGAGTCATGTCATTGCAAGCTAAAGATATAGTGCCCATTAGAAAGATAATGTAAAAGTATGATCTGTAGAGCAAAATTGGCAGGATCCATGTCAGTATCCATTTGTGCATTATAGTGCAGTGTTCTGGGTGTTCATGAACAACATAATGAAAATTAAATCTCAAGTAGACTGTTGCTCTTAGGTCACCGACCTGCCTTCTGTCTTTACGAGTTACAGATTCATTTAAATGGGATTGTTCCCTCTTCTAGAATTCTGATCGTTATTCCTTAATAGTTAATGGCGAAATAGAAGAGCTTCTTAAATATCTCTTCAGTCAGAATATCCTTTAAAGACACAAGTTATAAAAACCTTTGTTGTCATGACCTTCTGTACTACTTGAATTTGCTGCTGGCACTGAAAGTAAAAGATCTGTGAGAAAAGGTGCATGTGTAAGTCTTTATGCTCAATTGTTACAAACGTGCAAGGATACGTTATACTAAAAAGTACTATACATAAATGTATGACATGCTAAGCTGATTTTTAAAAATAAGTAAATGTAAATACAACAGATATCGCTCACACAACATTTACATAAACAGACATTTAAACTGATTGTAAACATAGTTTTGTCTTCAGTATTAAGTCCTTCCAAAAATCCCTTATTGATTCAGTTGAACTACTTTTTCATGCATGGTAAAATTCTGCTGATTACTTTGTGCCTATATATTCACTAATAGCACAATTATCCAATAACTTTTCTCTAGTCCAAATTTCAAAACAGACCGAATAGTCTTATTTATACTGTATTTATACTCCTACCCTTTTCAGTTTATTAATAGACACAGTTTTCTTAATGCTTTTCTACCATCTAGAATATACAAACGAAGATAAAAGTTATTAGCTATTAGAAACTGTTGAACGTTCTTGTAAAGGACAGAACTTACTTGTTCCTGTTGACAAGAGCTGGATACCCAAGTATTCCATTTCTGTTGTCTGCTTTTTGCAACATGAGACACTCTACTGTAGCTACAAACTTTCTCAGCTCAGAGAGACTCCACCAGAATTATAATTGTTTCCATAAATCAACACGCTGGAGAGATGGTGTGTATGTGCTTATGCGTGCGTGTGCATGTGTGTGTTGAGCCTGTTGTTCAGTCCTTTTCGATAAATACCTTTGCTGACCTCACTTGGAAGCAATTAGAATTTAACCAGTCAGCTGTCAGTTGAATGCACGAACAAAAATAAAAGGAGGCTTGCATTGTATCGTGTCCAATGGTCATCAGAGGGAGCTATGTACATAGTTTATACTTTAAATCTCCAAGAATCTACTCTCTAAAAACATATATTTCGTGGTGTGCGGGTAGAATTGCTTTGCATGCTAGCTAGTGTTTCTGTGCTTTGATTTAGGTCAGTATTTTTCTGTCCTTAAAAGATTCCTCCTTCTCTCTTTTGTACTCGCATGCTTATCTCAGTTTGCTTTCAAATCTATTCTGCAGTTTGGTGGATTCATAGGCTGCTTAGTGCCTTTCTGATGGATATGTGAAACATGTGGGTCCATTATGTACCGTGGAGAAGGGTGTGCTGTGGCCATTATAGATCATGCAATGTATTTTTATATCATGGACTTGCAAAGAGGAAGAAATGCACTGAGACTTTTATTTGATCAGCCACTAGGTGAAAATGAGAATGTATATTTGGATGTTTCTAAGTCTGACATTCAAACACAACCTTTATCAGCATGAAGGAAAAATTACTACTGGGGAACAGCCTTCCTTAGCATACATAGTTATTAGTTTTTGAAACTCACCGCACAAGAAGGAAAAGTGGTGTCAATGCAAGAAAACCCCTTATACTGCATACCAGCCAATGGGTGAGCAACAGGCTTAAAATACAGATAACCAAACTACTGAGTAGATATGCCTGGCTTTCTGCTTCTGTATGCTTATTTCTATCTTTGGCACCAGTCTGCTATCCAAAGTCCATATTCCATTCTACCCTTATATTCTGTTAAGTTTCTGGTGAATGTATTTGTAAAACGTACTGAAGCTAAGTTTTCAATAGCTCCTTATCCTGTTTGATTTCCACACTGTTGCCGTGTATGCACCTCAGACCCTTCAGTAAATAATAGTAACAAGGGAAGTTTGGAATTAATCCATGTATTAAGAATAGTTTGCTTACCTTCAGTTGTCTATACTTGGTAATATAACACAGTTTATCATTCCCTGCTTTTATCTCACCCCTAGCCCCTTCCTCTCTGTAGAAATGGATAACAGTTGCTTCTTAAAAATGAAGTGAACTGTAGAGGCAGTTAAAAATCATAGGGAGTACATATGTGCCACCTTGTGGTGAGGGGGACATAACTAAATTGGGTTTTTTCACTGGGGTGATCCAAAATGAGCATAAAGGTGTATGGCACCAGGCAACCTTGTATTACTCAGCCTTTCCTATACACAAGCACAGAGAATGAGTCATTTCCTTCCTTAGCATCCCCAACTTCCTTCTCAGCACTCGCTTGGATTAATCCCATTTGTGACTCACTTTACATTCTTTTTTTAAACATTTTCACTCAACGCTCAAAGTTGATCAACTTTTCTTGTCATTATCTCCATTTGAGCACATTGGGCTGTTCCCTACATCCTGTGGCTCAGTCTAATTTTCCTAGTTCAGCAAAAGGTTCAATATATGCACCTTTATGATATGAAAGGTATGGCGCTTAGCGCTTTCAAAGGCTGGATGCCTGCAGTAGATACACAAAGAAGTGGCTTTCATTAAGTTAACCCTTGTAAACTGTGATTACAGCTATTTCCAGTTTCACTTGTGTCTTGTCAATCCACGACCACCATTCTGAAAAGAAGTGGGGACTGAAATGATTTATCCCAGTTGTGGTTTTTGCCAGTACATTTGCTGGATTTATAGCAGTATGTTCTCTGATCCATTCCACAGTCTGTATTCAGAATGATAGCAATGAAAAAAATTTGTGGTATTCAAAAGGCTTATCTGTTGTGTATTACAAAGAAAGCAATTGAGGATAAAAGGTAATCTGTGTTTTACTCAGCAAAGTAGGATGCAAGTAGAAATGTTTTTGTAAATATTCTGGGGTTTTTATGTGCAATACCAACTTTCACTTTCGGATCCATACTCTTTCTAATTTTTCTTTTTCCTTGCTAACGTATTATTTCTGACAGTTAGTAACAGCAGAAAAAATACATACCTGAGGTTTTGGTTCCAGCAAGCTGGACCTACTCCTGCTCCAGGCATAGGCACGTATTTCTGTTGGCTTTGAAAAAATAAATCACTTGCTGCAAGTGTGATTTTAAGTGGTGCTTCAGTCCAGATCTTTATGAAGTTCTGTATTTAGAATAAATGAAAAGCAGTTTAAATAAGGCATTAGCTGTAAGTTTAGTCAGTAAACAATGCTGTTAATCTTTAATTAATGCTAATAACATTCCTATCCTCACATTTTCTGATTGTAGAATAACTCTTTTCCACAATGCTTTAACTGCAGTTTTGTTTAATCACGCAGTTCTATGTCTTGCTATACAACAAGTACAACTACATATTTTTTAATGAAAGGATGCCATCTTGATCTGCATATACAAGTCAGGATTCTTTGCGTAAATCTCTGATCCCTTGAATAATCCAACCCACTTCTGTTTTAAGCAAGCGTAGCTAATCTCTCTTTGAAATTGAACTGGTTTAGTTTTATGGAAAATTTAGCTTGACTGGCACTTCTTCCTCTGTCTTCTTACAAATGTGCATGCTCAGGGTAAATCCAATCCCAGGCAAGTAATGATATATAGAAATTGTCCACCTAAAATGCTAGTGATTTGGAGTTTCTTTGGCGAGATTGTATGTGAAGAAATGTGTTAAGGTATCAGGACCAAACAAAACATGAAAATATGCAAAATACACATGCTGTAAGCCATCCTTTAATATTTAAACCTGTCACATTTAAATTAACCCATGCATTGGTTCCAGCTTCCCAGTTGATAGACAGTTGTCCACAGCATTGCTACAGTGCATACACTGAAAAGAAAAAAGTGGAAATTAATTGCAAGCACTTTGCTTCCAATTTTGAAGATTGTGCATAGGCCTCCAGTTCAAATACAAACAGTTTAATAAAGTCTATTCCCTTTTCCCTCACAAAGGAAATTACTTTTTGTCCTTTTGCATGAAAACATGACTGTGGGGATCCATGCTTTCCTCATCTTCAGGCTGGCCTGTTGTAATATGTACTGCCCAGGTTCGGCACTGGGTCATGAATGTGACTTTTTTTTTTTTTAAAAAAAAACACCCTCCATTTCATCCAGCACGCCCTCAGGGCTACACATACCTGCTAAGAAACTATCCTTCTGCTGCTCCTTGTTCCCTGCTACATTTCAAATTTGCTTTAGAACATCTTCCAGAACCTTCAGAATTTAAGACAGTAGGAAGATAAAAATCTCTGTATCAGACTTAAAACCTGAGACGTTGGGTTTTAATGCCCTGCAGCAACAGCTAAAGTGGGATTGGAAGGTTCTATGGCAAAAATTCCACCGATGTGAAGGTGCTAAGTGTTCTCATGGTTAAATCCTTATGCTTAGTTCCCTGATCTCAGAAATCAGGATTAGATCAACCTTGACTTATGCTACATGCAAAAGATACAAGAAAAGTGCTACTGTTTGTGCAATTCTTCCATCAACATTGAGATCAGAGAAACACTGCAACATGTATGCAAAATAAACATTTAACAAGGCAGTAAAAACAAAAGAGAGGTGAGGAATATGGCACTTCTTTAGATTTATCTTTTCAGGTTGTAAGCTTAAGTGTAAACTTAAGATTAAAAGCCATAATTATGAATCCTTTGTCTGCCTGACTATAAGAATGTCCTTTTGGTTTTGGTAACTGGTATGGGTTATTAAAATCGTATTGAAAAGACGACAATCATTTTTTTCCTACCAGTTTTCAAAACAGATCCCTTAAACATCATTCATTTCTTTGTTTCTTCCTATTCGTCCAGATCATATTGAGCTGATTTAAATCTAAATGAAAATTGGAAATGGGATGCAGTAGATACTAAAAAACCCCAAACTATCAAACAGTTGACAACTATATAAACAACTTCCTTTTTTGTCAATTAGCTACAGCAAGTGGTTTTTATATTGCGTATTTCAGGGAAAACAAAGGCTGGGAATACCTTAGCTCAGTCAGTAATAAACTTTAAAGGCAGAGCCATTCAGGATTTTTTCACTAAGGCAATGGAATCATGATACTGACTTTTGAAGGAGATAGAATAAAAAAAGGAATGCGATGGCAGTCAGATGAATCCTTCCTTTCTGAATGGAGTTTGCACAGTATATGGTTATGATTGGTCTCCTTGTTATTCTTAGCTTGAAAACCCTCCACTTCAGGGAATCCCTACTTGTGGTGACATCAGGACACTCAGACTGTGATTATCATAACCTAAGATGTTGTTGCAGACTTGAATTGTAACAGTAAAATTTTGATTGAGATACAAAAAAATGTAGAACTGATATGATAAAATACTGAGGAGAACCATTTGGTTTATCTTATTTGTTACCAGGTATGAGGTTCAGAGCTCTTTCTCTCTGAATTGATCCATATGTTTTTATTCAGATTTTCCTTTTACCAACATACTTCCCATGTAGTAATTTCTTCTGCCTGATTTTAAATATAATCTTTTTTTAAAAGAAAGTGTCTTTTTATATGCACAGATCGTTGGATAAGAATCAGCTTTAAGACCTAGATTTGTGGCACTTTGCTGAGGTATCTTCTTAAAAACTTGCAGAAAAATATTGTTCCTACGACTTTACATGTAATCATTACATTTTACATTAGTAGCAATAAATATAAAATACAGTATTCATGCTTTGCTTTTAACTCATTGTAGCTATACCTAGCTATGACTATTGCATATACTTCAAGACTGGATTATGCAAATTACTTCTGTTTTTTAATTTTTAAGTGGTTAAACAAGCTATCCATTTTTAACCCTTCACATAGGTTCATATATAGCATAGCTATTATTGTAATTTACTTGGTGGTTAAAGGTTATATGGACCATATAAAAGTAATTTATGAATAACATCTAGAGCAAGAATAAAGCTTTGTTGCTATGATAATATGTATCCATTATTAT